CAAAATGATTGACTAACAAATATAAATTATATAAAAATTACTTTAAAAATCATCTTTTCTCCCGCGCGTTTACGCGCAGGGTGGTTTCCTAGTATAATAAAAAAAGAAATATTTCTAAAATTTTAAAACAAAATAGAAAACGAAAATATATGTATATAATATGATTTTATTAAAAGGAAAGTTCACAAAATAGTAACACCCCCATTAATATATATTTTTAAATTACATAAAATATATTTTCAAAATAATAAAAATATATATGTTCATGAACATCAAAAAGTATGCCAGTTATACTTTATTTTCTAATATTTTTAGAAATCAACTTATAATTTGATAAATATTATGAAAATACATGTATATTTAAGCGATAAATAAAACTAATTTGATTTGACTTAACTAAAATAAAGAGTAAATAAATATTTTGAAAATACATGTATATTTAAGCGATAAATAAAACTAATTTGATTTGACTTAACTAAAATAANGATAAATATTATGAAAATACATGTATATTTAAGCGATAAATAAAACTAATTTGATTTGACTTAACTAAAATAAAGAGTAAATAAATATTTTGAAAATACATGTATATTTAAGCGATAAATAAAACTAATTTGATTTGACTTAACTAAAATAAAAAGTAATTATACTTCAGTTTTAAGAAACATTTCTAAAATTTTAAGAAAAATTTAAAAACGAAAATATATGTATATAATATGAATTTATTAAAAAGGAAAGTTCACAAAATAGTAATATCTCCATTAATATATATTTTTAAATAACATAAAATATATTTTCAAAATAATAAAAATATATATGTTCATGAACATCAAAAAATTTCTCAGTTACACTTTATTTTCTAATATCTTTTAGAAATCAACATATAATTTGATAAATATTATGAAACTACATGTATATTTAAGCGATAAATAAAAATAATTTGATTTGACTTAACTAAAATAAAAGCAATTATACTTCAGTTTTAAGAAACATTTCTAAAATTTTAAGACAAATTTAAAAACGAAAATATATGTATATAATATGAATTTATTAAAAAGGAAAGTTCACAAAATAGTAATATCTCCATTAATATATATTTTTAAATAACATAAAATATATTTTCAAAATAATAAAAATATATATGTTCATGAACATCAAAATATTTATCAGTTACACATTATTTTCTAATATTTTTTAGAAATAAACATAGAATTTGATAAATATTATGAAACTACATGTATATTTAAGCGATAAATAAAAATAATTTGATTTGACTTAACTAAAACAAAGAGTAAATAAATATTATGAAAATACATGTATATTTAAGCGATAAATAAACTAATTTGATTTGACTTAACTAAAATAAAAAGTAATTATACTTCAATTTAATTTAAAAATATATTAACTCTATATACTCACAAAATGAATGACTCGACTAATATAATTTATATCCAAAATTAAACATCTAACTACAATACGAAAATATAATTTTGTAATAATAATAATAATAATAATAAAAATTTATTTAATTCTATACATATAAATTAGAGACTGACTCAAAGCATATTAAAAATAAAAATAAAATATTAATTAATTACAAATTAATTCTTTTAGAATTTATATATATGCATGAGACTTCAAAATATTATCATTATATTCATTTATGTAATTTTGAATTAAACACTTCAGCTTATTATGTATTTCATTTTAAGCACAACATATTTTAAGTTATACATAATTTAACTAAATATATTTACATATCTAAGAATATGTTTACATATCTAAAGAAAATAACCAACCAAAAGGAAAATAAAAAATTAATCAAAGTTTTATTATATTTAGAATAAAAAAAATTATAGCTGAATTCGAAAAATAGATATTATCGAATATACTGAACTGATAACCAAACCGACTATCGATCCGAAAAATAATTAAACCGACAATAATATATCCAAAGTCATATGTATACTTAGAATAATATACTATTTATTAATATAAATTATACATATAAATTGATTCAAAACTCAAACTAAATATCAATTAATTATTATAAAATTTTACTTTCATGAATATTCATGAAAATTAATATCCGTGCATGAGCACGGGAAAATCACCTAGTTAATATATGAATGATATGTAAATACTTTTACTATGTTTTGGTTTACCTTTCAAGAATTTATTCACATGGAGACGGTGTAAACTTTAAATCAAGTGGAAGCAATTCGTGTCTGTGTTAGAAGATCCAAAAGAGATCATAAGGCATTACTTTATTGTCTTATATATTTTATATGTTAATTGTTGTGTTAGTTAGACAATTATGTCAAACGTTAATTATATAAGTAAAAATATCACCGCCTACGTCAATACAATCGCTTTCTAAATGAAAAGGTCACAACGTAAGTCAAACAAGCTCTACACCAAGTGTCTAAATCGAAAAAAGTAGAAAATATTAAAGGACAATGTGAGAGAACTATTTCGTTGAATGAATAATGAAGCTTTGTACTTATGAAACTAAATCATGAGGAAGGATTGGGAATATTGGGTCGTAAGGCTCCAGGGAAACGGGCTTGGATTGCTAATGCATGAGTGACTCCAGGATACAAGAAATGGGAAAGAAAAAGCCCAAATATTTTAAAGCATATTTCATTCATTGTCGTATATGTTTTCTTTGTGTGTAAATGTTAAAATCATTGTCGTATACATACAATCACACATGATGTCACTGAATGAATGGATACACCTCTAGGCAGATTTTCAATGTATTATATGAGATAAAATCAAACGAATATTTTTACTATTTAGGTACATGAATGATTTCCTAATAGTTTGTAGATGGCTAAACGGCAAAGCTATAAGCTCGTTTTATCCACATCTATTAAAAAAATCGTAATAATTTATCATAAGTGAGATTGAAACATTCAAAGTGGGAATGCACTTATGAGTGGTGCATAACATGGCTCACATATTTTGAATTCGTTCCTATAATAAGTAGAGATGCTAAACTCCATTAAAACTCCTACGACCACTAAAAAGAAGAGAGACAATGACATGTCACAGTTATAATACAACTTCTAAGACATCTAAAAAGAAGAGAGAACCATCTTTCACAAATACAAAGTACTTACGAGGGAATAATCGCAAGGTACAGATAAAAAAATACCTATGAACAGCATAACTCATTTATCTCAGAAGAGGAAAAAGTATCTACGTAGCTCCAATTTTATTAATTTCCATGGTATAAAGTTGAAAAACGTGAGCTATAGTTATAGTGGATAGACATAATATGTTTCCCACAAGCTTACCTTGGGGACTAAAATCCAAAATTCTACATGCGCAACGTTTTTATTCGACTGAAACTAAACTCTGGACATTTGCGAATTTACACCCTGACCAACATGCGGGTTGGCATTGTTTAGAGTTTAGGGATCATGGAACAAAATAATATAAACATCACATTTTTAAAAATTCTTTTCTGTGTCAAGTTTGAAGCATACAAAAGACATTTACCAAATATGTTTTGATTCTTGAAAATGCTTCAAGAATTTGGGAAAAAGAGAGAGAGACGAAGAGTGGGCCAAAGATGGGCCCGAAAGAGGGACACGTGTGGTAAGACAGAAAAAAATAGCCGGTTTCACATGAGTCTAGTTAAGGCTATGACATGTGACTCACCGACGGGGCTTCTCATCAATTTTCATCACTCCGCCCCGTTCGCCGTCGGTGCTATCCACGCCTCCCTTCTTCATATCCCCCAATTAATTGTTTTATTCTGTTTTTAAAATTTAAATTATATGAATATGTTTTAGTGATAATACTATTCACATGTGCTGAATTTACATCCACACTGAGTAAACTATAATCGCTCGAGCTGTGATCACAATACATGAAACTTTAGACAACGTTCACATTTCAATATAAGAGAATCTTACAATACATGTTATATAACATGAGTTATTTGCTATATTCTCAAAAGGCAGAAAGGTAGAGAAAACAAAAAGAGAGATAGAATAAGAAAAATAATAAAAATAAAATGAAAGTGAATAAAGAGAAAGAGACAGAAAAGGAAAAAAGAAAGCGAAATATGAATGTAAAGTGAAGAAGTGAAAGGCCATTGGAAGAAACATCCTAGAGCAATATTACATCACATTGCATTTTTTCCTGCTCAGAGTATAAAAGCTATTAATCTGTTGTTTCCAAATTATTACCGATTCCTTGCAGAATGAAAAATAACACTGAAATATATCGTGAAAATAGCACTTCTTATAGTAAGATAATGTTACATAAATGCAATGATGACATTAAAAGAAATAAATTTACTTTCACATGAGTAGTTTGTTTTATCTTACATAAATACTCGAATAAAATGTTAAAGGTACGGAGAAGAAGTGTCAAACAACTTATGATGTGATATGGTTACAGCTGTTATGAATCCAAAATAAATTTGAAATATAATTCTTTTACTAATAAATTTACGATTTCTACAGCTTATAAGGAAAAAAAAGAAGATTAGAAACAAAACATTATTTTCAAAGATTTAAGATATTTTAAGTTTGTAAGTTAAGAATTTAAGTAGACAAAACACAGTTCAAGATTCCGGTAAATCAGAAAGAACAAAAAAACACAAACATGGTGGACTTTTAGCTTCTTAGGCAATGGTGTGGTGGAAGAGAGACCAATAGGGGCGTAACCGTCATTTCACAAGCGAGAGCCCCTAGACTTTGCTGCAGTAGATTTCAGTACGTCTGCTAAAAGTTACCAACGGGAACCAGCAAAACATATTTCGAAACGGGACCCTCAAATTTCTCTTTATTCCAAATTCACTCCCCTTTCTTTTACAATCTCACTATTTAACCCTCTCTTTCCTTTCATTTTCTCTCTCTCTCTCTCTCTCTCTCTCACTATCCGTTGAACTCAAACGGCTCTTTCTCTCTCTCTTTCCGTCGACACAAACCTTTGAGAATCTCAGTGTCAATTAACATGAGGTGTACTCGATTTCTCCGGTTATGAATCCCACTCACAACAACTCAGCGTCAACACTAGCTCCGCCGCAGCCTCACCGTCCTTCCACCTCCTGTGATCGTCACCCGGAGGAGCGTTTCACCGGCTTCTGCCCCTCTTGTCTCTTCGAGCGTCTCTCCGTTCTAGACATCAACACCGTCGCGTCCTCCTCCAGAAAACCGCCGTCGTCCTCCGCCGCAGCTCTCAAATCAATCTTCAAACCCTCCTCTTCCTCCTCCTCCTCCGCCGCTCCGCCGTCGCTGTTCCCGGAACTTCGGAGGACGAAATCGTTCTCGGCGAGAAAGAACGAAGCTTTACTCTGTTTAGGTGCGTTTGAGCCGCAGAGGAGATCATGCGATGTTAAGGTAAGGAACACTCTCTGGTCTCTGTTCAACGAAGACAACTCGGAACATATAAAGGAAGGAACTTTATCAGTAAAGGAAGGAACTTTAAGAGTTAATAGTGAGATTAGTCTCGAAACTAGAAAGCCCATTAAGTCCTCCCCTGTTTTCGAAGAGGGCATTGATTGTGGGAAGAAGTTAAAAGAACAGAGGAGTTTAATCGACGAGATCATCGAAGAAGAAGACGAAACAGAGAAGGTGAAGGAGCACATAGAGATGAATCCTCCACCTCCACCTCCTCCTCCGACGACGACGACGACGAAGAAGCCCACAAGGAGTTTCTGGTCCGCGGCGTCGGTTTTGAGCAAGAAGCTACAGAAATGGAGACAAAAGCAGAAGCTTAAGAAGCATCGCGGCGGCGGCGGCGGCGCGTTACCGGTGGAGAAGTCTGTCGTGAGGCAGCTCAGAGACACTCAGTCTGAAGTAGCGGAGTACGGTTACGGACGGAGATCATGCGACACGGATCCGAGATTCTCTATCGACGCCGGGAGATTCTCGCTTGACGCCGGTAGGGTTTCGGTGGACGACCACCCTCGTTACTCTTTTGACGAGCCACGCGCTTCTTGGGACGGGTATATGATCGGGAGAACCGTGGCGGCTCCGCCGCGGATGCCGTCTATGTTATCTGTTGTGGAGGATTCTCCGGTTAGTAATCACGTTCTCCGGTCAGATAGTCACATTCCGGTGGAAGAGCAAACACCACCGCCACCAGGACCGGAGAGTGTTGTCCCTGGTGGTTCTGAACAGACACGAGAGTATTACAACGACTCATCTACACGAAGGAGGAAGAGTCTTGACCGTTGTAGCTCCACCAGAAAGTTATCAGCTTCTGTTATAGCTGAGATCGATGAACTGAAACTGTCTGCTTCAAACACTAAAATCTCGCCAAAACATTCGCGCTCACGTTCTAGTTCAGTGAGGGGAGATTGCTCCGTTGAGAATTTGGAGATGGGAGGCAGAGAGACTGTGGAGTCTAGCAAGAAAGGGATGAAGAAGTCTAAGAGATGGAGTTGGAATATATTTGGTCTGCTTCATAGGAAAAATGGTAACAAATACGAAGAGGAGGAAGATAGAAGCGGTGTTGATAGAACGTTTTCAGGGTCATGGAATGTAGAGAGTAGAAATGGGTTTGATCCGAAGATGATGAGGAGCAATAGTAGTGTGAGTTGGAGAAGTTCAGCTGCTGGAGGTGGAGGGTTTCAACGGAACAGTGTTGATGGTGGATACATTAGTGGTAAGAAGAAGGTTAGTAACAGTAGTAGTACTAGTATTGGGAGAAAGGTTGAGAATGGTATGTTGAAGTTTAACTTGACGCCTAGTAAAGGAAGGCGAACAGGAAGCATGGATTCTACGAGCCGGCCGGTTCCGGCTTCTCATCCGTTGGGTAGAAATGTCATGAATTATTACTGACCAAATTCAATATATTTTCTTAGATGATGTAGTTTGAAATAAGTTGTATTGAGTGAGAATGTTCAGTCTGATTCTTGTGCTGGGATTTGGTTGTTCAGTTTTAGAATTTCTTGGGGTGTATACATAACCTTTAGTTATTACTTTTTTCTTATCTTTATTAGTATATGTCATAACATATGACTTATGATTGAAGTTATGACATGTGAGATTTGATAGCTAAATCAGGAGCAACTAATGGACAAAAGAAGGGTTGAATTTCAGTTAAGCTTTTACAATATATGATCCTTGGAGAAAATGATTATCCGAAATTTTCGCATTAACACTTCACTTTAATTTGCAATCTAGAAGTCAAAAAGTGACAATTATTTGCCTATATAAGAAACAAATAAAGGTTTATGACAATAAATTTGAACACTGTACTAATAAATTACAATATTATTTGATGGATCACATAAAGTTATGACACAAAAGATTACTCTCTGGAAAGTAACCAACTGGATGTTTGATGAGCAAAGCAAAAGAGGTATATAGAAAATGAGTTACATACAAGTGGAAAATGTCGAGGAGACAAGTGGAAAATGTCGAGGAGACGAGCGGAAAATATTGAGACAAGAAGAGCCCATGTGATCAGGAAGAGTCCAAGACTATTTGAGGTCATAAGTCAAAACAAACTTATTTACTTGGGCCTTGTGTTAGCCGAAACAATTTAACCTTCAATTCTTTAAGCTTGCTTGCTTCACTGTGATGCTTTCCTCTACAAGGACCTAAGAAATTTCTTTGAAAGGTTACCTTTCTTTTTTTCCGTTGCTACTTTGTGTGTTGTCGTTTGGACATTAATGCCAATGTAACCCTTTCAAAGATGGTTGAGAAAATGACAATAACAAATTAACTATAAGTTGGAGGATATGACAATTTACCAATTTTAACTATGACAACTCATCAAAATCATCTGTCGGTTCTAAGTGGTTTACTGCAACATCTCCGGTACGAAAACAAGAAAACATAATGATAACCAGTTTGACCAAAAAATGAGTTAAAATAGTTAATATCTTAGGTTCACACCCATACCCATATCGTCTTTGACCGAAACGGCGTCGCTCTAAAGCGCACGCATTTCTTATGTGTGTAGCCTTTTGCTTTGGAACAAAACCCAAGCAAGAGAGGTTGTCTTTGTTGGTTTATTTGTTTACAACGACGTGAAAGCCATTTCTCAACTATATATTCTACTGTCTTAGTTTCTAAGCATTCTAATCTCCACCCTACTTCACACAGCTTCTAAGACACTTTTTAACAATATTTTTAACATTACATATGCGACTTTATCCAATCAATCCACTAACAAAGTAACAAAATCCATCCAACTCTACATAATTAGTTTTTTTTCTTCTATTTTCCATTTCCATATATATAAAGATAAGTGTATGTGTTTTTGTTTGCGACAAGGCTTCAGATAAGTATATGTCTTGAATGGCAGTTAAATATTTGGGAAACCATTCATATGTTAAATATTTATAAGAACTTATTCGAATATGGTTGAGTTTTATTTTTGTTATCGCTTCTTCTGTTTGATTTGGTGTTATGCCAACTCTATTTCACCATTTTAAACCCCCACCGCCACAAATAAAAATACTCAATAATTAAAGTGTGAAGTAGAAGCGGAAAATGTTTTATGTATACCCGAAGGAATAGAGATGTACGATCTCAAAATGGACAACTCGGCCATCTATCGAAATTAATACTAAGGTTTGTGGTCGTTTTAAATATTTACTTCGAGGGACTCTGAGGTCAGATGTATACGTCTCACCAAATTATAACACAGTCTCGATCTTTCTTTTTTTTTTGTTTGAGAGTCCCTGGCCGCCTAGTAGGCTATATTAAGAGGGTTTTGTACTAGAGAGTCTCGATCTTAAGTCTTCTCTTTTCAAAGTTTGAAATTTAGCTATTGACAACAATTTCAGTCTACATTATCGATAGATCATTTAAAATAAAGATCAAGAGCTTTCTCTTGCATATATAAAACAAACAAAGCCTAGGATGTATATCTATGCTGAATCTTTGATGCAATATATTATCGCTTTCAGATGACATTAGTCAACTGCAATTAAGATCATTTGGTCCATCATTCGGTCGCAAACAATTAGTATATTAATTAGCAAGTGTACTCCATTGTTTCAAAAATATATGATGATATATTGATGTATAATGTTTGAGGCCAATTCACAATAATTAAGAAAATCATTCTTTTACCCCAAAAGGATTATTTCTTATTCAAATATAAATTAGAAATGATTTAACAAACTACAAAATATACTTTTAAATATCATTGGTTGCACAGTTTTAATAAATTTTGAAGTTACCTGATATATACTTTCAAAAAAAAGTTACCTGATATATGAAAAAATCTTATACTGTGAATAATAAAAGTCTCCTGAAACATCATACATTTAGAAACATAGAGAGTATGTTTATTTGCATGTTAACTAAAATAAACATGCATGTTCTCAAACATAAACTTGCAACCAATACATGTTTTGTGAAAATTAATCAAAATTTATAAAGCAAACATATGGTAAAGAAGTTTGGGATGAAAAGAAAACTAATTTTATTGGGTTTGGCCATGGAGATTAGTTGTGGTAAGAATGGGAATCTTAACTATCAAGAATTGGATTTTGGGTCGACCTACCACCTAAAACGACGTTGCCTCCCTCTCTGTTTTCGACCAATCTCAATCTTCTCTCTCTTTTATAAGCTTGCGTTGGCCAGTCGCTCATTTCAAATACAAAGACAAGAATACTAAACACACAGAAGAAGAAGGAAGAAGGAGAGAAGAGAGAGAGAGAGATGAAGTCTCATATGGTTTGGTTTCTATTTTTTGTATCCTTCTTGTCTCTGTTCCCAGCTCCATCGGAGAGTATGGTTCGCCATCACAAGTTTAACGTGAGTCTATATATCTATCCCATTATATATGTGCATGTATATCTTGTATGATGTACATATATGCATATTATGTGTACATGTAGCTATGCTGATCGATATCTATGATGTGATGTGTACATGTTACTATGCCGATCGATATCTTACGCAGCATGTAAAATAATCGCAACATATATCCATATCCGCGCAATCATGATCGACATTTATTCTTGTAGACATGCAATTTCTTACATGATTACGTATAGAAAAATAAATATGGTTTGTGGCTTCGCAAATGAAACATGATATGCGTTTTGTATTTCATGTAGAATAGTACTTAGAGCTAAATTTTCTGTAGATGCTTTATCTAGTACAATTCCTCTTTACTTTACGTACACAAAATGATTTCAGATTAATTTACGTGTGGTATTATATTTTCCCCCTTTAACATGACAATCATTTAAGGTAATTAAGAAATTACTTTAAAATGTTTGGACATACAAGTGGACGAAAAATGTTTTTTTTTGTTACAACTTACAATCGGGTGATTAATGATAATGATAAAATTGGTCTGCCTTTGGTCTTATTGCCTTTACTGTTTTGCTTAACTTTGCAATAATTAATGTTTGTGTTTGAACTCACAAAGGTTGTAATGAAGAACATGACTAAATTATGCTCAAGCAAGCCAACCGTGACCGTGAACGGTAGATATCCAGGTCCCACAATCTACGCACGAGAAGACGATACGTTGCTCATCAAAGTCGTTAATCACGTTAAGTACAACATCTCTGTCCACTGGTAAGCTCCTACGTAATAATCTTCATGTAAATCATTAGTAATTAGTTAATTAATTGATTGATGATATGGTGGACTATATTAACGAGAACAGGCACGGTGTGAGACAAGTGAGAACCGGATGGGCCGATGGGCCTGCTTACATAACCCAGTGCCCGATCCAGCCAGGTCAAGTCTACACATACAACTACACCTTGACTGGCCAACGCGGAACGCTCTGGTGGCATGCTCACATCCTCTGGCTCAGAGCCACGGTTTATGGCGCAATTGTCATCCTCCCCAAACGCGGTGTTCCCTATCCGTTCCTCAAACCCGACCACGAGAAAGTCATAGTTCTAGGTATTGTTTTCTGAGCCATGTATAACTCGAATGTTCAGATCCATCTTATTTTTAGCTCTCTTGTTACATTCAGCTCACCATATCAATTTAAAACCGGGCGGTGGAATACCGGAATATGAATTCGAAGCGACCTATAAAACTATTTCTTAGGAAACATATAAGATAAAGACTTAAAAAAGGACACATCAGAGATATGTATTACTTTATTCATTACCAAGTACAGTTGTGAGTTGAAAATCTATGTAACTTAACATTAAATATCATTAGTTGATATTGGTTCATTACATTGGATATATGTAAATTGGGCATGACTAAAAGTCCATCATAATTCTAGGTGAATGGTGGAAATCGGATACTGAAAACGTCATTAACGAGGCACTTAAGTCTGGATTAGCTCCTAATGTCTCTGACTCTCACATGATCAACGGACGCCCTGGCCTTTCTAAAAATTGTCCATCTGATCAGGGTAATTTATTTATTTATTTACTTATCAATTTATATGATTACTGGCATTATAACTTCAAAAATACTGATTATGAAAGTCTCATTACAGGCTACAAACTCTCAGTCGAGAATGGCAAAACCTATTTGCTACGACTAGTCAATGCTGCACTTAATGAAGAGATGTTTTTCAAAGTGGCTGGCCATATTTTCACGGTGGTCGAAGTGGACGCCTGCTACGTCAAACCGTTCAAGACCGACACCATTCTTATAGCCCCCGGTCAAACAACAAACGTCCTCTTAACCGCCTCAAAATCCGCTGGAAAATACCTTGTAACCGCTTCCCCCTTCATGGACGCACCAATAGCGGTCGACAACGCTACCGCCACCGCGACTCTCCATTACTCCGGAACGCTATCCTCTTCACCGACAATCCTCACTCTCCCTCCACCACAAAACGCTACTTCTATCGCCAACAACTTTACCAAATCCCTTCGTAGCCTTAACTCCAAGAAGTACCCTGCCCTTGTCCCGACCACCATCGACCACCACCTCTTCTTCACGGTCGGCCTCGGGCTAAACTCGTGTCCTACTTGTAAGGCCGGGAACGGAAGCCGTGTCGTGGCAAGCATCAACAATGTAACATTCATCATGCCTAAAATCGCGTTGCTCCCGGCTCACTACTTCAACATTAGCGGAGTTTTCACAACTGATTTTCCCAAGAACCCACCTCACGTTTTCAACTATAGTGGAGGATCAGTCACGAACATGGCCACGGAAACCGGCACAAGGCTTTATAAGCTACCGTACAATGCAACGGTGCAGCTGGTTCTCCAAGATACCGGTGTCATTGCGCCGGAGAACCATCCTATTCATCTTCATGGCTTTAACTTCTTTGAAGTTGGTAGGGGATTAGGTAACTTCAACTCCAAGAAAGATCCAAACAACTTCAATTTGGTCGATCCGGTTGAGAGGAACACAGTCGGAGTACCATCTGGTGGATGGGTCGTCATCAGATTCAGAGCGGATAATCCTGGTACGTCGCTAAATTTAGTCCAAATATAAGTTAATCCAATGATAGAATCATGTAGATTTAGGTCATAGAAAAATGTATGCAAAATTCACATAGCAGTTGTACAAGTCATAGTACGTAGTTTGTAACTAGATCTACGGTCTCCCGGTATTTAAATAAAAATCCAGTGGTAATATGTCAACTATTATGATCGATTATCATTATTATAAAATTAATGGATTTATATGTTGTAATGTATAGGGGTTTGGTTCATGCATTGTCATTTGGAGGTACACACGACGTGGGGATTAAAGATGGCTTTCTTGGTGGAGAACGGCAAAGGACCCAATCAGTCGATTTTGCCACCGCCTAAAGATCTTCCCAAATGTTAGGTCCGTCAACTAAACAAGACCACGTCCAAGAAGATTAGTGAGTGGTGAATTCATGTGTGGATTTTGTTAAACGTTTATTTTTTGAGCAAATCAAAGGTTCGATATTTTGCTCAAACAAAGTTTGAATAAAAGTGGATGAAAACGAGCAATGTACTATAATAATTTTTTTTATCGTTATATCTAATTACGTTTTATTATTGTCTATTTGTCTTCAACATAACTCTTATGTGGCTCCTTGCGTTTTATTTATTCTTTTGGTCCAACAGCTTAACTTTTTTAAACAAAATTTATATTGATGGTATATGAACAAACCAACAACGTATTTTATTGCACGATCACCTTTTTTTTTTTAATCAAATTTCACATTCACTTTTTATTTCGTTCTTATATCACCCGGACCTTAAAGATACATGAGTTTATGGTCCTTACGACTTTAGATTTTCAATCATACAAACTTAATCGGTTTGCAAAATTGGAATCTGATGGTCGTAATACATTGAAAAGCTCACATCATTTTATTGCACATGAAGAATTTAATCTATAATGTTTGGGGTAAAATACCATTTAAATATCTTTTATACCTTATTTACTAGTCGCTATAACAATGGTACGATTCAATTTGGTGTTTCTTCAAATACTCGTTATCAGACCATCAAGTCTACGGAGAATGGTCGAAGCATCTCCCTTCGCCAAGACAGTGCCTACGGCTGCTTTAGCCTTTACCGTTTGTGAACGGTTTGCTAATAACATCTACGGTGGAATGCAATTGTGGAGTGGACAAGATTGAGCGGTTAGCTAGTTTAGTTTAGCAAATAGTAGGCCCTATAAGAATTATTAACATTTATTATGCAATTATTTATAAAATCAACATATTTCGTACTAAAACTCACGGTAATCTTCAAAATATATAATCATCATATAAACTTTGTAGAGGCTACAAAAAGCATCCCTAAATCGATTTTTGATCTTGACTAACAAAGTAATGACCACTACGTTCGTTATTTAGTTTATTAGCAATATTAAACTAATGATTCGGATTTGTACATATCTTCGTAGATAAGCATAGTTTTTTTTTTGAATATTAGATAAGCATAGTTTGTGGTAGAATATGCTGTTCCCCCGTTTCCTAGCATGCTAATTTTTTTAAAAAATATACATTTAATTAAACACATTCTCCAATCTCCAATTTTCTTTGTTATCGAACTTGTGGTCCAAAAGTATATTGAACTTTGTAAGTCACCAAATAATATTTACCCACAAAATAAACAAAAGCATCTCGATATAAATACAAACAAAACAACTCATGTGCTCAAAAGGTTAAATGTCAACACGTTCGTCGAAATTACGGAAGTACCCTAAGCACCGACCTTGCTAGCCAATGAGGATTGCTCCTCATTTCTGTGTCTTGCCAAGTCTGTGATTGGCTCAACCAAAAATGTCTTTGGCCTACAATTAGGCAACCTTGAAGCCGCAAGTACCCTTTCCCATAAGTTGAGTCATATTATAATTATTTTCATCCACAAAACAATAACCGAAATAAATTAATCAACGATCCTTGAAAGCATACAAAGAAAATATAGTTCCTTGAATACAAATGAGACTAGAACACGTGTGACTCACCTATTCAAAGGTCGACACATGTCTTTTGCTTATTTTTATGTGAAGGCCAATCACAAACTATACAAGTACGAGTGTTAATTGGTTGATTGATTCAAAAAGGTACTCTGAAAATACATATTAAAAGAATGTTTGATATATTAACTAATCTCACTTTGAAACTAAACCTTTTTAATTTCAATCGAATTATTCTAATAGCATAATGTACTATGTTGATGTGGGATACTTTAAGAATGTTACTATCTTATAGTATATACATCAACACTCTAATTGTGTTGATTTTGCAAATATGTTTTGTTGCACTCTTATAATTTTCATATAAAATATACGTTATGAAAAGTGAAAACTATCATTTGTTACACGCATGTTTAGAGAAATACCATTAGATTTATCCTATTGAATTAATAGTTTTAGTTAGTTTAAATAATTTTGAATATAGTAAAAAAAAGTTGTCACATCATTGTAAATTGTTAGTTATAATATTTTTCAATGCTTTGCCCAAAAAAAAAAAAATATTTTTCAATGCAAGTAAACGTTTAGTAGTAGTATTTTCGAAGGGAAGCCTAATTAGTAGCCAGCTTTACGTGATAAAGAAATACAAATAAAAGGTTACAAACTCTAAGATCTTGACATAAATATATACTCATAGACAGACAATCACAGCTCAACAGCTTTTTTAACTCACCTCTCACTCTCACATCATTCTTGTTTCATATTACATCTCTCTGACTCTCCCATATACATCTCGACCATCTGGTTTTGTTCACTGTATCAGCTTAAAGTTCCCGTATCCACCTGAGTGTCTCTCCATTTGCTCTAATGTGAGATTTGTTCTTTCTCATCACTCTTCCTTTTTCAGTTTATAAAATCAAGAAAATCCTCTGTTTTTCTACCTTCATGGGCCTCCTCTGTTTTGTTCCTCCGAATGTCCTTTTATTCTTTTAATCTTTCTCTGGATTCGGATCTAGCAATAAGAAACTGGATTGGTTAAAGGGGTTCATCGTTCAGACAACAAAGCTCAAACATGGAATCTTTTTCCTCTTCTTGTCCTTAAGATTCTCACACCTTAGATGCTTATCATCATCTCTCTTTCTCTCTCAGTTTCCATCTCAAAAATGCCATTTTGATAGATCAAAAATCCCACCGTCGAGAGGCACAAGATGAACAGAGTTATGTCACCAGCAACCTACTTAGAGACATCATCAAACAGAGGAGCTAAATGGACAGCTGAAGAAAACAAGAAGTTCGAAAACGCTTTAGCCTTTTACGACAAAGACACTCCCGACAGATGGTTCAAAGTCGCAGCTATGCTCCCCGGCAAAACAGTCGGAGATGTGATCAAACAGTATAGAGAGCTAGAGGAAGATGTCAGCGACATCGAAGCTGGTCTTATCCCAATCCCTGGTTACGCCTCAGATTCATTCACGCTCGACTGGGGAGGATATGACGGTGGTAACAATGGGTTTGACATGAACGGATATTACTTCGCCGCCGTGGGAGGAAAGAGAGGATCCGCCGCGAGAGCAGCGGAGCATGAAAGGAAGAAAGGTGTTCCATGGACAGAAGAAGAACACAGGTAACAAAACAAATGTCTATGCTTCTTTCTTGTATGCATTTGATGTGAGGAGTGGTTATGGGTATAAATGGCACATGAAACATTGATATAAAGTTATAAACAAGGCAGATAAAATATTTATTTATTTAACCACGACATAGTATAATGGTTAGTATTAGTCTTGTCCCTGTTTCAAATTAATGGTTAGTATATATGGCAGAATGTACTTTGTTGACAGAGAGTTTATTTCAAGTTAATGATTGGTATAATGAGTTTGATTTCCATACGGTTTGATGAATGTTCAGACAGTTTCTGATGGGTCTGAAAAAGTATGGAAAAGGTGACTGGAGAAACATATCCCGCAACTTCGTGACCACACGGACGCCTACACAAGTCGCGAGTCACGCTCAGAAGTACTTCATAAGGCAAGTCAATGGCGGTAAAGACAAACGCCGATCAAGCATTCATGATATCACCACCGTCAATATCCATGGCTCTCTTGACGCCGCAGCTGCTGATACTGCAACCACAAACGCTCCATACTCACAACCGTCACTAGGAGGAAGCCAGCATGAAGGGTCGGATCAGTGGGAAGGTCAAACGATATACGATGAAACAACGGCTACTCTTTACAGTCAAAACGCGTTTCAAGAAACGCTACTTGGAATGTCGTCAACACCGTACATGGCAAAACTGCAGGATCAGAGTTTCCTAAACGCATCGCAATTCTAATCCCACAATGCGTATCTCCAAATGTAGCACAAGGTGAAGATCTTGGAGGAGATATAGTTAATAATCATTTAATAAAGTTTTAATTCTTCGTTTTTATTTATCCACGTGCCTATACAAAACATAACTGCTACTATTAAGAGATACTAGAGTTTGACTTGTGTGTGTGGATATTTATTTTCTCTTTATATATAAAAAATATTATTTAAATTTTTATTAGTTAATATTTTAAATATTTATCATATTTTAAACTTTTTATAAATATTATAGTGAAATAGTTTACATGTTGGAAACAAATATTAACCCGTGTGCCATATTAAACTTTTGATAAACATTGAATCGTTGATATGTTATGTTTAAGTGATGTCTCTTTTAACACAAAAATTGTTTTCCAACTATATAATATTTTAAATATTTTGATTATATATAGATCATATGGCGAGATTTAGATACATCAGAAAAGAAATATTCTATTATGAACATTAAATATTTTCTACAAGTAACTTTATGATATTTAAAAATTTATGTAGATAAATTTATTGCTGAAAATAATTAATAGTAAACATATTTTATAAATATTTGAAATATATATTAGGAAACATTTACATACATTAAAATGAATATTCAATTATCAGCAATCTATATTATTCTACAAGTAATTCAAAAATAGTTAAACCTTAGCATAGATAAATTTTATTGTTTAAAATAATTAATGGTAATGGTTAAATCTTACAACCTAAATATGCGGAGTTCATATGATACTTGAGAATTATTCTATTATCATATTAAAAATGTTTTAAACTTGAATTTTCCTAAATTTAGCTAAATCATTTTAGGAAATATGTTGATCACAAAAATTTAGGTAAACTTGATTTAGGAAAAGATTAAATAAAATAAGAAAAGACAATGATTACTTAAATATAAGTTTATTTAATTTTCAGTGACATTGGATTGTAAATATTGTGCAATTTTAAGGGTTAGTTATATTTATACTTCTGTTTTAATAGATTAGATTTGTTTCTTTTCTTGTGTCTTAGTGGTTGATTCAATGAGTTTTTAAGCAAAATAATTAGGTTTTGGTTACTTTAGTTGCCGAGTGTTTAACTTTGTTGTTATGTTTGTGATATGGAACTCTTTTTGAGCTCAAATTAGTGTATGTTTGTATATGTTATGTCATGTAGGCTTTCAAAAAAAATTATCAAATAAACAATCCTAGACGGAAAGTATAATTTTAGTTATAAGCTGACTCGAACAAAATTACGCAATTTTTAAAAAAATTAGTTTCGTTCAGTTCATCACCCGACACATTCCTAAATGTTTCTTTATTGATGAATTTTCAATTAATAAATAATATTGTTATTGCTTTATTAGATATTATGTAAATTTTCGTTGGCTTTTTATCACCTATTTTTTTTGAATTTAAAATGTAATAAATAAATAAATCACCTGATGAACAGTTTTACATGAGGCGTGCTAGTTTAAAATAAAGATATATTTATGAATAGAAACTAAAAGTGTATAATGTATAAAACCTTTCGAAAAATGTGTCTAATGTCAATTAAGGTTTTTCATTAGTTTAATCTAAGATATTCCACAACTTGTTGTGGTGACAAATCTTTAATCGAAACCTGGCTTTGTGTTAGTTTATAATTACACTAGTTTCCAATTCTTTTAATTCAAGATTAATTGCTGAAGTTTGAATGTGACATCTAAAACGAGACTAAGAAAGACCATAAACAAAAAGCCATCATGATTTTTATGCTTTTGTTCCATGACAATATACAAAAGTTGTTAAATTATAAGTAGCTTTTATCTTGGGTATTAATGTGAACTAGATTTTGACCCGCGCAACCGCGCGGGTGTTTGTTTTCATTTATATTTATACAAAACTTTTATTTATTTAAGATTGTATATATTGTAATAATCACATATATAATATGTATATGAATTTTTCAAACATAATAGTATTATAGTTTACTTTGTTTTTACAGAATTCAATTGTTTCAAACTCTAACATGTATTTCTATCTTCTATATATATATATATATATATATATATATATATATAAATATATTGACATCTGTATTTGTTTCTTCTATAGATTTTTGTTTGTTTTATTGGATTAGTATCTACTCTATAAACTCGTAAATGTATGTAAATTTGGTAAAATAGAAAATTATTTACATTTTAAAAGATATTGTAACATTTCACTTAATAATTAAACAGTTATTATTATTATTTTTTTTTTAATTGAACTATCTAATTTTAAAATATAACATCGGTTATATAAAATAACCAATGTTAATTTTCATATTAAAATAAATTACTGAAAATTATTTTTAAAAAATTATACTAATCTCATCTTAGATTATAATTATCAATAAAGTAACTAAACATTAATATTTATTTTTTGTTATTTTTATATATGAACTATCAAATGTTAAACAAATAACATTGACATATATTAAAATAAACTACATATGAAGGTATAGTAACTAAACATAAATTTGAAAGTAAATATTAATTTAAATATTACAAATTAAAATGTATTTGCATAAATAAAAAGTTCTAATTTATTGAAAGTATGGTATATAATATATTATTTTTAATAATGTATATCATTTAAACGTGAAAGTCATCTGATTGATCTATATACTATACTAAGCCTAATGGGCCACTCACATTGCTATTCAATTCTTTTTAGCCTAATATACTACAGTTTAAGCCCAAAAAAATTATAACCTAACAGACTTTTTTCTGCGGAAAGAACGTCAACATCAGGAGTCGGTATCTTCTCTAATCTTCTGGTTCTTTCTCTTTAAAATAACTCTGATACTTGAACCCTAAAAATAAATTCGCAACACGTGTGGTTGATTTCTTCCTTCTGAACACATATAAACGACGCAATATGAAATCTTCACTGGGATCAATTACTGGAAAACAGGTGACTTTGTTTATTTATTTTAAATAATATAGATTTGTTAATAATCTGAATACCAAATATCGAGTTTCGAGTACATGGTTAGTTGTCTTTGAAAAGATCTGATTAGATTGGACTAATTTTTTTTTTTTTTAACTGAGTAGATCGGACTATGGTCTCTCTTTCTTAACAACTATTGAATTAAGATTTAAAAGGAATATGCGTATCAATTACAATTTTGAAAAGGAATATGCGTATCAATTACAATAAATATAGATCTTTCTACGTGATTTTGTTTCAAAATATATAGGAACCCAGAATATATAGTAACCGAAGGAGAAAGTGACGGGAAAATAAATATGTGATATTGATTCTGCAGTAGATATTGTTTTGATCTTATATTATATTAGATATACGATCGTACTATATATTTAATGTTTTGGTCATTATTAATTTCCTATCGTATACACCACGAACTTCATCTTCTCCAAATGGTCAATGACTGTGTGTAAATTATTAATTATTAACAAATGTTGCAAGCTTACAATCAAATAAACTATAGCATATGGTAGGCATAGAATATAATTGTTTTGATCTTATATTATATTAGATATAAGATCGTACTATATATTTAATGTTTTGGTCATTATTAATTTCCTATTGTATATGGTCGAACTTCATCTTCTCCAAATGGTCAATGACTGTGTGTAAATTTTTAACAAATGTTGAAAGCTTACAATCAAATAAACTATAGTATATGATAGGACATATATATCAACGTAATTGTTACACGGTTGCATAAAAGGATTCTGGAAAAGTATGATGGATGACTGTGTGTTCTTACTGAATCGAAGGGGAATGGACTTATGGTCAGATTGAAAGAACAGAGAGGAAGATAGGAACATGGGCAGCAGAGATTGTGTGTGTGATATATCAATTGATTAGGGAGAAGTAAAAGATAAAGAAATGGATTGATGACTGTGTTCTTCAGGGTCACGTATAAGGGATAATATTGTTACTATGGACATAGCATGATATTTATATGAACAGGGAATGGTGTTAATATATTAGATACGAAAAAGCTATGATATGGGATTACGTTGATATATCTAATATAGTTGTCATATAATAGTGTGATTTATATAATATAATTAAGGTGATTAATGAGTGAGTTATGTTAATGTGACCAACTCTAGTAAGTAGTTCAAAAATTAAAAAATCACACATGAATGAGAAGTCATGACTTCTGTTTTAATATATAAGATAACCATAAATGAAAATGGATTCTTTCGCGTATGTTGTATGTTATTCAAAAACTAATTTTGGAATTAGAACACATGTATTTAATAAACTGAATAATTTTGTTCTAATTTATATTAAGATCTATCATGTCTGTTTAGAATGAGATCTTATACTATGTCAAAATTTTAGACTTTCAACTCAAATTAATTAACAATAAGTGAATTGATTTATATTTTTATACGTTGCAGTGTGTACCACTGTGGAAATCATAGCAACAAATGTTGTGCATACTCCAAAATCAATATATCGCAATTAAAAATCTAATATGTAGAAATAAAATATAAATGTCTTTTAATAACCTTTTTAACATTATGATTTTTACAGAAATTCTTGATGAATTTCTTCTTTAAATTGATGTTTGGTGGGTTAATATTTGATGCCTTTGTGAGATTAATACGAGAAGTATCTCCACATGTTTTTTTAAATTGCAAATTTGACTTTTAAGGATGACAGTTGATTTTTTATAATAATTCTTCGAATTATCTCACTTCCATAGTGGTAGATTTTGTTTTTCGCCTGATAAATCATAACTTACTTTATTTTGTTTCTAAAAAATCAAGTTTATTGTTTTACTTTAATGTTAAGTCTTGGTTTTGATGTGTCTACCAAGAAGATTAGTTGCATATATTGTATTGTTTGTATCTAACTATAGGGACGAGATACATGGGGTTCAGGCAAAGAATACAATGTTACAAAAAAATCGTTTGTTTTGGATGTTTCATCCACATAAAAACCTAGATCAAGAAGATTAGAAAGGCAGAGAAATCACTTGTCAAATATTATCACAGCCAATGAAGTATGGACTTCCAACCGCCAATAAAATAAGTAGTTAATCGCCACAGTTTTATTTAAAGTATCTGTAGTCCAGTGGTTAGTTGTTTTACCTCTTGGTGATTGGTTCAAAACCTAAAGAATGCATAATGATTTTTTCAGTCTTTTTTAGTTTA